CCAAGCAATGTGTGATTACTGTTGTTCAAGTTTCGTACACACCCAGAGCATCTGCTTTGATCTTCTTTGTCTCTGCGATATAAATGTCGACGAGCGCCTCGGATGATAGTTATTTTGTTGTGGCTAGCTATGAAGATCTCTATTATTATATCCTTTTCGCGGTTGCAAGTTGCGTTCCGGATCATCACCGAATGGTAAGTATTCCCAATTTTCTTCCGTGCTTAACATAGTTTTGACGAGTTTAGTAGGCAGTTCATTCAGGGTGCTAACCTTCGTCAACTAGAGGCTTCGTCCTCCAAATCCGTTAACAAGTCCATCGACATCCCATCTAGAAGGAAGGCGTTTGGAAAGCACTTGGTCGCCGTAAGATTGATGATCAAGCCTTACGGTCTCATCCTGTTGGAATGGGCCCTCTGTGGCCTATCCAGCAAGCTCCCCACGCAGAGGATAGTCTTTTCTAGTTGCTAAATAATTACTATGTAAAAGAGAAAAGTATACTGTGATCGCCAACCTTCAACGAAAATGACTATATCTGTACTGGACTATTGGTTACATATAGCTAAAAAACAAAGTTCGTCTTGCTTCAATGGAAGATCAAGCAGTAAGAATAAAATGCAGTTGCCTTTACTGCTTAATTGACAAATGTTCAGCTGTCAGATTGTTTCATTGATCACAACATTTGCTCCATTCTTCCATCGTGCAGTTTCTTGTAAGAAAGAAATAAAATTTTCTCATCTCCCTGGAGGGCGATCAGATGATTTTTTATGATATAGCGCCACTCGACAGTAACTTCCTTCCATCTCGATCAGTGAATTAGGCTAAAGAGAGGAACTTCTCACGAGTAAACGTCCGTATTTTCTACGGTGACATTTTTTTCTGGATTACTGTCTAATTTCTGCGTTGCGGATGTGATCACAGTTAAATTTCGTACATGCTTCTTTTCATAATCTTCAAAATCAGACAGCCAATGTTTCAATGGTAGCCATTATCACGAAGTCAAAAATAATGACAATCTGGATTAATAACATGATCTTGATCATGAAAGGAATGTAGACGGGGATGATATATTATCGATAATCAGAAACGCGATCGCTGCCATTATAATGGTAATCAAGATCATAATGATTACCACCATCTTGGTAATAAAGATAGCTACGATGATGATAGTCTTTTTCATAACAATACTGGTCGTAACAGTGCAATGACGCTGAAATGTTTTATTGAGATTATTATTATTGCTTACGATCATTGTATTCATGATCATGACACCCACCATCACGATTTTCATCACAGGGCCTTCATGATTATCGTAATCGTGATGATACAGCACATTGATAAACGTGAGCATGACAGTCATAAAGACAGGCAAGATTGTATAACATTAACTGTATAATCACTGCTTTACCAAATGCCACAAATTGGATCTCGCTATTTATGTGTCAACTGCTACTTCAATACAAACGGAAGTTTGCAGCGCTTATGGCTAGTGTCAATTCGAACCAACCCAATATGTCCCGCCTGCAAGTGATCTGGCCAATGCTATTTTAGTATAAAACAGACATGCAAAAAACGTTATCGTGTGAAAGAATAAAAACCCATGTTATATTATGCATGAATAAATTTAATGCCGTACGTAAAGTTACCTCTATAGAATGAACAATCGACGTACGTGAAGGGTACGAACGGATGAATATTGTTCAGACTGTAAATGAAGAATTGTTCACTAGTATTATCTGTCACATCACAAGTTATTGAAACAACATGAAGAGAATAAAGTGCTTTGAATTAAAGTTACAATCCGAAACTTATGAGAGTTACATAAATGATGCATTAATTATCAGATATATCACAAAAATGTTAGATATCGTATGATCTTTATCTAATTATTGTCGAAATAAGTTTAAAATAAAGGACTTCTGAAACCATCTATCACTGTTTATCCTAAACTTTGGATCAGATTGATTTAATGATAACAACATTATCTAATGACTGTACCAATCCCATGCTGACTGACTTAATGCTGACGATCTATTTGATTTCTTGGTTGACAGCACTTTCAAAATAACGCACGCTGTTTTGATCTCAGATTGAACGGACATCGGCTTTGTCATAATGATCGACGTATATTTGGTTTAAACGTTTCTGCGGTCATTCAATATTGGCTTTTATAATGGTGCAGCAGTCAGCCACGTAATCGAAGAATTTGAAAAATGATTAACATTTAAATCAAACAAAGGTGCATCATAATTTATTAATAAAATTATCTCTAACCTGGCTGTCACCTGAACGTTGAACCGGCTTAATGCCTAACATTTTGAAGAGGTGTGGTTTGACAGCTGCCAACACCGAAGGTAGGTATTGATCTTCTTTAACAATTACACAGGGGACTGTAACCGTCATCGAAAACTTGTCTTTATCCAGAACTGTCATTCCTTTTACGCATGCAGGCGGATGAAAGACTTTCGACATCCTCCATAAGCAAAAGGTAATTCGCATAAATGCCTAAAAGAAAACCGTTCAGACGGGATAATACATCTGCAGCTTTCAAATTTAAGCTACGTTTAAATCAGATACTGCAAGAATTTGCATTTGCATCAGCTGTAGCCACTAGTTAAAGTAGTTCTTTTCATAAAGTTAAAATTTGCAACAGAATATTAATCATAGATAACAGTCGATTAGTAATCAGACTGTATTTTAGATATGATATAATCTTACTTATATATCCCTCCTTTCTAGTATATTTTCTACTGACCGCAATAAAGTGGACATCCTTTCGAAGAGAAAGGCCTACTTTTGACATGGAATGACTTTTGCAGAGTCAGCTCATAAATCTAACACTTTAATCCTGTCTCTCCTGTTCAGACCTTATTGACTTTAGATTAGGAAGACAACTATTTTCTTTAAACCTTTTTTAACTTTACGCTTTCTCCTTGCAATTACGTTTAGTTATATGGGGAAAGCAAACTACAGCCGTAAAGTGCACATCAGACAGCACAGCCGTTTCGTACGCTTTGGAATGACCGAAACAAAGCACCGCGCTGTTTTTATTATTCACAGGTCAACGATCTGCTGTCCGTTTTTCAGTTCGTTGTATCGTGCCAGTACAGGGGATTTCTTGCTCAAGGTGATTAGTGGTTAATAAGAGAAAATTTACTAGGTACACTCTGAAGTGCGATCTACTACCCAATTGCGTCACTGTTCCAAATTCGGAAACAGATTAGGCTATTTTGTTTTGAATGCTAAGACACTTCCAGAAAAAAGAACCTTACAGCAGATGTAATAAAGTGAATGACGCAAAACGACTTCCACTGCACTGACCTGTGCTAAAACTGCAGCAGCAGAAGGCAATGGAGTTTTTACCTCAATCCACAAGAAAATGACCCTGCAGCCACTAAAAACCTAATTACACCAATCAAGAGTACAGTAATCTGCATTAATGCACCGTTCTGCTTGATATAACCGTATAATTAACCACTGGTGCTACTTCATTCTTATTTCTTAGCGCATCTGCCTCATCGATTAGTTCTACATCTCAGCTACATTTATTACTGCTACACCAAAATAAAAATTCTGTATCTACTCAGGGAAAGATCGATACAAGAAAAATAAAATTTTGCAGCTTTAAATAGAGCAGGTTCTTGCAGCAGTGTTCATTGATAAAAAACTCGAGGCAACAAAATTATCAGTAAAAAAGCAGTGACGGTTAAATTTTATTACTCCAGACATAAAACGCTATACTGCACACAATGCATAACATGATATCACAACAGTTGGGCGCCGAATCCGAACGTCTGTTTCATAGACTCGAAGTAATGCCTAAAAACAGAAGCCACTGCACCTCAAAAAAGCAAAAATCAAAGCTACTGTCGCCAGCCATCTTCGGTGTTTGTAATATGCGTTACTGGAATTCCAGCTTGATCCACAACAAGCTCTGTACAATCCGTTTTTTGGTTAAGCTCAACTTCGACAGTTGAGAAGTGGTCACTGGGCCAACTGTTCATTCTCCATAGCATTTTAAGACGCGAACCAGGAATCTAAAAATAAATGTAATACCATTCTTCGAAAAACTTAATACGGAACCATACCATTTCCAAGAACTGACCTTCGACAATACCGTTAAACAAAACGAACTTGCCACCAACTGTGGGCTCCATTTGGACGGGTCCACGTGTGAACGCACAGACCATCTATAAACATAATTTTAAATACCTATGCTGTATTAACAATTGAAAATTACGTTGGGATCCGTGAGAGCCGTGTAGAGGTCTGCTGCTGAACACTTAAACTCCTCTTTCAGTTTAAGACTTTGAGTGCTGATGTGCGTTTCCTTTGGAGTTGCCACTTTCTGCTGGTCTTCATTTAGAATAATCTAAAGCTTTCATTATTACATTACAAAACTAGGTTCAAATCTATTCATGACTTTTACCTCTTTCGTAAAAGTACCAGTAGCAGGTTCACCCTTTTTAACCTCTTTCAATCGAAGGTTAGGAGTGACGTTTTTCTTCGTTGGTAAAATCAATCCTTTCGCATACTCCTGTGTCAGCTGCGTGAGATACTCGCTTATTTTCGCTCGAATCAACTCGCTGCCTTGGTTTCTCATCATATCAAGGAGTTGTACCACGTTTTCATCGTTATTTTCAGATGACACTTCAATCTGCAATCATGCATAGTATAAAAAATCAATGTTAGCACCTATAACAAAATTTTATAACCGCTCTTCAAATTCAAGTTTAAGTTAACAATTTCCACGCTAAAAAAGAATGGTTAATTGTAGCAACTGAGGATTTAGATTTTTAGAAGGTGATAAAAACCATCGATAATGATATGTCTCTCACAGAATATGCTTCAAATTTCTGGACGGAACACAGAAACGACGACGATACAGATAACATGCGAAGGGCAAGTAAATGCACATGGTTGTCACAACGAAGAAATCGGGCCATGTGTTTATGAAAGCTATAGCGACCATCTGATATGCAAATGATCATGACTTAAGAACAATCGTTTGAAGAGATGGCTACAACATGGGCACTGTGAACTTTCAATAGACTTCGCTTTTGAACAGCAGTTCAGTGAACGAGTATCTAGTAACTTTGGTCGGCAATGACTAAATTCATAAAAGCTGTTCACTGTTATTCAGCACTCGTTTCGAAAACCTGGTTTCCGAGATTACCACGTTACTGATAATAGTCTATTCTATCTTTACATGTTACATAACCCATACCTAGAAACTGTCCGTAATGAAACGTTCCAGGATGATGGCGTTCACGGTCAAAGTTGCAAAGATTAGCGCTTAGGCAGTGGGAACGTTTATGATATGATACAAGAAATTCCAACGTGTGTTAAACACTAGCGATCGATTCAAATGGCATGTAAAGGTTTTACCTTATTCGCAACATTACTGATGTTGTCTTAAGTCAGCCACCGGCAGACTTCCATTCAGAGTTCAACTTTAACACGCTGAACAAAATAACACAATTCTTGCAGATCAACATCGAAAGAACTTTTAGAAGTAGAGGAAACGTACCAAACTACTGCATATTTATTTGACAAATACAGACATAATAAAATAAACATACGAATAAAAGTCATGCTGACTTACGTCAATGTCATTGATGCCATTTTCGTCACTCAGATTTGGAATTTCTATTTCTCCCTTATAAGTCTTGCCGTTTCCAGGCACGACGCCCTCCCAATCGCACTTAATACACCATTCGTAAAAGAATATCAGTTTCCCTTTACGATTATTGGCATATGCTTCACCTTCTATTTTTGTCAGCTGAACGATTTTGCATGTTCCTACATAGGCCAACATTTAAACATAATAAAAGTACTTCGCAATACCTACCTTCACTGCCTTTAACTTCAAGATCCTCGAGCAACTGTTTCAGTTTAGACTGAGACCAAGACGTGGCGTTTTTTTCCGTCCTGAAGGTAAACACTGTAGTCGCAACATTTTCTAGTTTCAAACTGCTCAGCTATATGTTCTATCAGCCAAATGGAAATCGACCCCAACCCATTGCTGTCAACAACTCCAAAACTCTTAATTTGAAGAAAGGCCCTCCGAACTGCACTGCGTATAAAAAAACAGTTTACGTCCTGTTCTTTGCAAACTGTATTAAAACGGATTTCACCACATTAAAACAAAGCCCCCACCAATTCCTTGAGCCTATAGAGCCTGAAACATAGAGCGACTAGTTGGCATTTGAACATTTGTAACGCTACACACCTCGATTCACTGTCTAGTCAAAGCAATAATTTACTCATCAACAGATATTTCAGTAGTAATAATTCACTTCAGAGAAACTAGCAGCAGAAAGGATCATATTTTTGGTTTCGAGAAAGCATGTAAAGAGCAAGGCTTCTGAATATCATTACCAACGAGCAAAGTATTTATGATACAAGAAGTATTTATGCGCTGTGTTCAAATATCGCAAAGTCATGACGACCGTATAACCTTATAGCAGTCTGAAAGGAAGTCACTTGGCGACATTTGGAATCACTTAACTAACTTGGCGTCACAACGCTACGAAATCCGGTTTTGTTGAACGGCAAACTTTCACTTTTAAACGTAGTGATTAATCGAACGAAGAATCACATCCTCACTCTTAAAACAGAAGAACAGCTCACCAGTGCCAATTATTGACGTTAGTGGCGTCTGGACGTTCTTCGACGATCCATCGCGGGTCACCCTCACCCCACTTTGCCATGTCAGTGAAGCAAGCGATAGCGAGGGTGCAGGATGCTGAAACTAGAAGCTACTACAAGGTCTAAAACAGACAGCTCTAATAACTGAACAAGTAGAAAGCGGAATCAAATATGATCAGTACACAACTGCAAGGCTTCACGAATTTCATAAACCGATATCCAAATGACTGTCCGCTTAAGAAATTTTCATCATACACTTCACGATCTGCATGGCTGCTGGCTAACTGCTAGTCACAGGTGGAGCACATGCTCAAATACGTGTCCGTGTCAGTACTTGCATGCACATGTAGACCAACAGCTAAAGGCGATTAGTAGTCCCTCATAGTCCATCATTTGGGTCGTTCGCTACAAATTGACGACATTCATTTGAATTCAATATTGGCTTTAGTTTAGTATGAAATACTGTAAATTTTTGGCAATTCCCTAGATTGCTAATCAAAAACATCATTTTTGTTGAACGTACTCGTGAACTTGACATTTACATGATACTCTTAACTAATGTGGCCAAGGACATTGAATGTCAATCGCAGTTTTTCAAAATTATCATGGATTAGCTATGAACACAGTCTTTGTCGTGAACGACCAAATATATTCTAATAGGATGGCCGTTCAGGCAAATTCAGATCGCTTACCAGACGCCAGTCGAACTCAAGTTACAGAATATCTTCTCGATCTGTCGATACCTTGACATGTTAAAGATAACCTAGCAGCAACAAGGAAGTTATCGTACAAAGTTATAAAAGAATTTTATACACTCAGAACAGGCCCTCACAATTAACAATCAAAATTTTTAGCGCTGGCGACGAGGCAAAGGAGACAATCAAAACAGATCTGTGGGCTTCAAGTAAAATGATCAGAGGTTAAGTCTTAGAGGCAAAAAGAATAAATTAATTGCTTCGAGCAACCATTTATTTCAAGAATAAATGACTCTCTCAGTGGTCTAGATTTCTGAAAATTTATTTGCCTAATTGAGTGGCGAATATATTGACATTGCTACAAAAGCTATAAGTAAGACATAAAAGCTTAACAATAAACAATTTTTTTAAATTTATTTTTACGATCACAATCACGCTGTGCTGATCAGCGAAGGCATAAAATGCGTCAAGGTTTGAAAAAAATCTCTGAAACCAAATTACTTCTTAAATTCGTACCAATATGGGGTGCGGTGGAAAAGTAAACGGTTCTGAACGGTAGACGCCGGTTTCGAATCCACTGAAGGAACAACATTTGTCTTTTATCGCGAATTCTCTTGTGCAAGCAATTAACCCCACGCTGCTTCGGTGCAATCAGCAGAGAAACGGGTAGTGCGTCCCAAAAATTGATAACGGATGGAATTCTGGTCTGGCCATGTCCGAATGGATTAGGTGTTTGATCAAACTGTCCGATGCGAGCGCCCTTGTGACTGCGCTTCGTCTTGACCAACTTGATGGCTGACTATCCACTGTAATAATCAGCACAACGTTTAACCCAATTTCGATTTCGACATTGTGCTGCGGATGACTGGAAGGAGACACATGTTCTGATTCCATGGCTCGCTGTACCAATGACAACAAAAAAGTATTTATTTAACACATATACGACCGTTCGACCCAAATAAGCATCATCCATCATGATGGTTGATTCTCTGACGGATCGACGTCATTTCAATCGCAAGTTCAGACCTGTTTTAAACATCTTTGTATCATTTGGCGCTGCGTACCATGAAATCAGAAAAATATCCGCTTCCAATCTTCTCATCCATTTATCTTCTAATTTCAAACGACAACCTCAATTATAAACAAAATACAGATAATCTCCGAGTTACGATCATTCGACATTTACGATCTTACGATTTCGATTACGATATAACAAAATCTGAAAAATATTTTCGATTTCATTAGAAGAACATATGTCATAGAATAATTTGGGTACGCTTGGGAGGCTGCTGCCGGCAGCATCGCATCACCTAACGCGTGGTCTGCTTCAGTCTCCAGCGATCTAACCCTTAGTGAGATAGCGATTCAAGATATATTTACGCTTTTTGTTATTTTGTGCTTAAAAACTGTAACAATGTCCCCTAAACTGCTAATGTTTCTCTTGTTGGTAGTGAGAAGAAGAGGAAAGATATTGCGTTGGAAGACAAAATGAAGATCATAAACCAAAAGAAAGGAGAAATCAGTCACTGGCCATAGCATGTGATTTTCAGTTATCCCGATCAACGGTATCAACGGTTCTCACACATAAAAGACGGGTCATGGAAGCTATCAAGGATGTTGCAGCTGTGCATTCCACCGAAATATGAAAGAAGAGATCGGGGCCATTGGAAGAAATGGAGAAGCTACTGGTAGCTTGGATGGAGTACAAGATCCAAAGACGCATGCCGCTAAACCTTCTAACGATACAGGCAAGGGCCTGTACACTGTATGACAATGTTAAGAAAGGATACGATGATCCACTCTCTCAAGAACAGACTTTCACGGCAAGTCATATTTGGTTCAGCCGATTCAAGAATCTGCATAGTTTTCACAATGTCAAGAAATGTGGAGAAGTAACAAGTGCCAATGCCCAAGGAGCAGAAGAATTCAAGGTGCATAAAATAATTGTGGAAGAAAACTATTTGCCGGAGCAAATATGTAGTGTTGACGAAACTGGCCTTTATTGGAAACGGATGCCTGAGCGAACATAAGGAGGCTAAGACTACGCCAGGATTTAACGCATTTAAGGATCATTTTACTCTTCTTCTCAGAGGAAATGTTGCTGGGTTTAGACTGAAGTCGTTCATGATTTATCACTCAGCAAATCCTAGGACATTTGCCAAAATTGACAAGACTTTACTTCCTCGTTCATTCTCCTTAAGCGTGGATGACAATTATTCTATTTGAAGATTGGTTTGTTACTTGCTTTATTCCTAAAGTGAAGGAATATTTCACAAAAACAATATTCCATTTAAAATTCTCACTTTGGATAATGATCCCCGTCATCCCCAAAACTTTGGTGATATTGGCCCTACTGTGAGAGTTATGTTCATGCCTCCGAACAAAACCTCATTTATTCAATCGATGGATCAATGCACTGTGGCTAGGCTTAAGGCCTATTATCTGAGGAATACGTTCGCTCAGGCAATCACGGCTACAGAAGAGAAAGAGCACCGAATATTTTGGAAAGAATTCAACATTGTGCACGTGATCAAGAACATCGCACAAGCCTGGAAAGACGTAAAGGAAGAATGGCATATGGAAAAATGTACTGAAAATTTATTTTAATAACTTCAAAGGATTTCACAAGGAAGACGAAGTTATTGAAATTAATAAGAAGACTGTATCACTCGACAAGACATTTCAGCTAGACGTTGAAGATGATGATATCCAGGAACTCACTGATGTTGAAGAAGAGCTATCATCGCAAGATTTAATTAACCTTTTAGAAGAAAAAAGAAAAGCTGAAGCTGAAGAAGAAACTATACAAGACGAGGAACGAGAGAAAAAGATCAACACAAAAAAATGGCACAAGCAGTTTCATGTATTGGAAAAGAACTCGCTCTTTTCGAAGAAATAGATGTCTGCTACGACAGATTTGCTCAAGTTGAGAGTTAAATTCAAGGAACCCTTACCTGCTATAAAGCGATTTATGAAGAAAGGAAGAAACAGGCAGTTCAATGTACACTTAACTTCTTCATAAACAAGCCATCTCCTCTCAATCTTCCTCAGAATGAACAGCTGCAAGAGCCAAAGAACTCAAAGTTAAAAAGCCAGTTTCTCCTGATTTACCAGAATTGACTGCTGACGAAGAAAATTTTGATGACACAGATAACTGCCCACGTCCTGAATCCGATGACTCTCCTCCAGTTAATGTTCTTTAATTTAGTCACCTGTATTAGCATCTGCAGTGTGTAGACGTCAAATGAATTCATCATTTTCATCTTCCATCGCCGCTTCTCCTTTCGGGTCGCGGAGGCAGACGCGTCAGACAGTGCTTCCAA